TGCCAGATAAGGCTCCATCTTCTGAGTTCTGCCTGCAATATTTTACCCTCACTGAAGCCTTTTCCTCCAAGCAGAGGAACTATATAATAATAAAGAATCTTATTTAGTGAAATGTGTCATTCAGATTTTGTACCCAGTGAGCTAACACTAAGCCAAGAATCCACAAACCAGGAAACGTATAATGCAAAGGCTTTATGCACTTATAAAGGGTTAATTTCCTGACATGCTTTTGTAATTGCACAAGAGTTTAGAGTAATGGTGATACTATACACAATAAAAGTTTCATTTATGGTATCTCTTTTCAATTTGTTTTTCACCTGCTTTATTATAAAAAACAAGGGGAATGGCATTTCTTTGACACTGAAACTTCTAAACATTCTCTCAATAATTCTCTCCCTCACTTCTTCCTCCCTCCCTCTTAATTAAGAATTTCTGGTGGATACAAAGAAAAGGACACAAATATGAAAGATTTCTCTTTGTGCACCTGCTATCCACATTGAAACTGCTTCTTAAAATAATCTTAGGGTCCTCCCTGGTGGCGCACGGGGTTAAAGTGCAGCACTATGACACTATCTGCAGCCACTGAAGCAGGAGTTCTATCCCCAGCCAGGGAGCTGACCCCCATGGCATGGCAGACCTCTTCCTGACCCATCTGCTGCTCCCCTTGGCAATGTATGTCAGTCAATCTGCCTGTTCTGTTCCCCACCCTGTCTCTGGTGAATCCTTTCAACCCCCCAACATCTGGTCTGTACCCCAGTTCTTGTATGTTTAAATAAAATCTTAAAAAAAAATCCTAGGAACATGTTTCCAGGATGTACATACAATCCCTGGGGATATACAATCCCTGACTTGGTGATTGGACAAGGTTAGAATGGATGGAGTAAGACCAAGTACCACCCCATAAATGCACCACCATCTATTTATTTAACATATTACAGCAGGACTGAAATCGCTGGCTTCTCAATGTTGTCCTGGAAGAAACAGGTTTGGAGATTTTAGATTTGATATAGTAATTTGATATAATTAAAAAAAAACTGGTATGGCATCTGAGAATAGTTCTTCCTCTACCTTGTAAGGAACTAATCTTGCACGCAAGGCTGATGATTCTTCTACTTACAACGCACACAAATTTTATTTTCACCAATGACAAATTTTATTGTTACCAATGATAAATAAAAATTATGCTCCATGATAACTCTCATTCTGAAAGGAGAACTTTTGTATGGGTGAGTTAATCCTCAAGCCTTTCCCAAGGGACCAGCAATGGAAGAACCTTGAGTTCGTTGTGGTTTTTATGAACTACAACTTTATTGCCATAATCTAGAAACAAAAGGCAAATGGAAACCAATTTTCTATGTCTTTTACTATAAATAAATTCAAAATTCAGGGAAAATTCCTATGCCCTAGTATTGGATTTGAAAACAGTAATAACTTAGTTACTAAATGAAAAAAGGGAGCATCCGGAAATGTAGTTGTTACAGGGTAGCCCAGAGTGGACTGGGCCGCCTGTCTGTGGGGCCTCACATGCGTGCTCAAAATTCAGTTATATTGCAGGCACACACAAAAAGGTCAATAACGGGTTTATTTACAAAAGGGGAAAGGAATAGGAAACAACCCAGGGAAAGAGAGTGGGATACAAAGTAATTGGAATACCTTACCTGCTTGACTGACTGAAAACACCGAGTCACACTGTCCGGAGAGCCATTCTGCCAGCAAGAGAGACAGAGAGAGAAAGAGATGCAATCGCACCCTATTTATCCCCCAAATGTCCCAGAATTCCTGCTAGCTCGGCCCTTGGGTCCTTGCAGTTCTCTCCCTGGTACTGCTGGGAGTTGTAGTTCCCAATCACTGGAGTAGGGGGTGGAGTCCAGAAAGCTGGAGTATGGGGTGGAGTCCACAAGACTGCAGAGTTCCTTTAGGACATCCTTCCCCTTAACATAGAGTAGGAACTCAATTTCCCTTACCTTCTATTTGCAAGAGTTCAAAATACTTGCTAATTTTGTAGAAAGATCATTAAAATATACCAAAAAAAAGAGCCAAATCACTTTATATAGCTTATTTAAAATTTATTGAATTTCCTGTGCTCTTACAAATGTAACATTCTTGTATACAACATTCAGTGAAGAGGCACAATTCTTATTTTGAGGTGGCACAGATTAGATCTTTTTTAAAGTGAATTATTCTTTTCATTAGGAAATTTAACTATAAGCTATTTTTTTTCTGTAGAAAGTTACTTGAAATTCTATTCCTAATATCAGATAAAATTTAATTTTTCTATCTCAAAACAACCACATGATAATAGTACATGGCTTCTGCCTTTACACCTTCAATTATAAACAGAAATTTCACAGTGGAAGATTTTCAATTTTTTTTTAAATATATTATTTTCAGGGAAGAAAATGACCCAGATAAGGAATTTGCAGTTCTCCCTGGTCACACAATTGCCAGATAGGTGATCAAGAATGAGCTTTGCCATGGAATTTCCTGTAGGGTTTCCTGCCAGCCTGGATTCCATTAACCAATTTAAAAAAAAAAAATCCCCTTAGAGACACTCCCTAGGTCCAGGAGGGGATGGAAAGCCAGGTCAGAGAGGTTGATACTTTCACATTATCTTCAGTACTCTCTTGACTTTTAGGTAACAGAGCTCTCTGCCTTTTCCACACTTGAATTCCTGTCACAGCACTGGCACGGACAGGAGCTCACATGAGTCTTACACAAAACACTGAGCTCTAGCCCGTTTCTGGTTTTTGAAACAGACTTTCTCACTGATGACTGAATGTCCCTATGGGAAAAACTACAGACCCAAAAGGCCGATGCCAGGGCAGAGACAAGGCAGGAGGTGATTTATGTTGGGGCAAGCTCACAGAGGTTCTCCACTCCTTTCACAATTCCGTGGGTGTGGAGGGTGCTTTCACACAGTTTTTTAACACAGACTCTAGGTCCACACCATGACCTGTGCTCAGGACCTTTGGGGGGAATCTGTCTTTAAACAACCAAGACACCCCTTGGACCCCTGCACCTGGCCCTATGTCCCCAAGGAGCTTGAGCCCAGGCCCACATAGGGAACCTACATTTCTATCCCACATGTCACTTATCTGTCTTTCATTCTTGACTTTTCACTGCATTTAAAGTCAATCATGCTCTACTGAGTTTCTGGGAATTTTTCTACTTCGGAGCAACAGACTGTGAGGATGCACACTTAAGGACTAAGCTTTTGTCTAGCACAACCACTAATCAGGACTCAGGATGCTTGTTTCTATTTCTTTTCCTTAGGTTTAGCAACTGTGTTTCCATGTGGAGAGTGAAGGCATCCGAAGATATCGAAGAGCAGCTTTTTTTTGGAACCGGAAGTTTCAATGATTGTGACCCAAGTGTGGCTGAGAAAGGACGTAAGAAGTAACTGCACAGCAGCTGCTAGGGTCAAATAAGAATATCATTTTAATCTTACTGGATTTGCATGAATTTGCAGTGATTCGTGAAGAACAAAAGAACGCTTCCCAGAGCTTCCTCAGGGCTACCAGCAAGCTCATTATTATTCTGGACCTGCCAAATGAATTCATTAATGTACAGGGTCATTTTAACATGAAAGTTTATTGTTTTCTAAGTATTTCAAAACTAAAATTTTCATTGGGCTACCAGAACTATAGCTTAAAGAGATCCTCCTTCCCTTATAAAGTATTATTATTTGATAGTGGGTACTAGGGAAGTGACATGGAGGGGGATTTGGAAACATATAGCTACCCAAAATATATACAGCTTTCTAGAAAAATCCATGTACTATAATAAAAGCTAATGTGCAGATTTTAAAGTTATGGAAACAGATCAACAGTTGCCTTGGGGAGATGGGAAGGGAGAAACGGAGACAGGAAGAGGAACTCTGATGGGACAGGGGAAATGGTGGTGGTGATAGGCATGTCCCCTGTGGTGACAGTGTGGTAAAAGGTATATACATACATCAAAGTATATCAGATTTTATAGTTCAAAATCTTTGTAAAGCTTATTGTATGTCAGATCAATAAAGCTTTTTGACTAAGCTTGAAATGACTGGGAAAAAGGTTTCTGGCAACCATTTTATTGCCTAAAGAATTCAAAGGATGAGGATAATTAAGAGAGTTTGGGAGTTGGAAGTCCAAGATAAAAGAATTGTTTCAGCATTATTATCTCTTTCAACAGTATTGAGAGTTTTAGTTCTTACCCTATTAGCTAAAAGAAACAGGTGAAATTGAGATAGAATTGTACTTTTTCTGAACTCAATATTCTTTCACAGTTGTCCTATTTATATTTAGAGGCGTGATAAAAAGAATTTGCAGAAAATAATGCTTTGTTTTATACTTTCCTATTGAGAAACTAATAATATATAATTAGGAAGTACTTTTTAATCCATGAACAATTTAATAGTGTTCCATAGGAGGCTTAATGCAGTGGTTCCACTATTGATATCACTTTGCAACTGTGCATAGATGGTACACATTTTACAAGCAATGACACAGTGCAAAAGAACAGACATGTTTATCCCTGCCCCTTACTAGATTAGGATCAGAAGGAAAGAAAAATAAATCAGGTTTGACAGTTGTTTAGAAAAACAAAAGAATGCCTGTGACTGACAGGTAACTTCTTCACTGCCTGGTCACCTGAATTGCCTACATCATGGGGCTTAATTTGCTTAAGATGCTGGACATGCTGGTTCATCACAGCAGTTTTTTTAAAAATGTATTCTTTTTTAGATTTCATTTCAGAAGAATAATTAAAACTAAATCTTCCTTAAACAACTTGTCACTTTCTTAAAAACAAAGGCTTCAACAAAAGACTTACAATCCATTATGCTTGTACAATTAGGTATTAAAGTTAAACAAAGTCAGATTTAACAATGACTCATGCAATATACAGTTTCAGTTGATCAATTTTATAAAAGAAAATCAATGAAAACTTAGAGGATTTAATCCTGCTTTGATCTGCAGTATTTCTAAGTGTCTGGGAAGCTTTTTGAAAGGGGGAAAAAAAAAACCAAACTCAAATGTTTTAATTTTAGCTCCAATGAAATTTTTTCATTTCCCCCCCAAAATAACATTTCTAGAGCACAAAATAGATTCATAATTGTTTAATTAGATACATTTTATATATCTGAAGATAATGGCTCCCATAGAAATAAACTAATACTTTGTACACAAACTTCATTTACTATGCCACATTCATAATATACCAACTCAAGCCAAGTGCAAACATTTATTACACCCCTGGTATGTGAGGAGCTCTGCTCCCACAAACACTTCATTATCTAGGATGACAAGGAACAAGATTAGACAAGATGGACAATTAAAATCCACAAGGTAGTAACAGAAATGTACATTAGATTATGATTATAACTCATCTCCATTCACAGCTGTAACCAGAACTAAGCAAAACAGTTTTATCAGTTTCCTCTTTAGCTCTGCCCCCCACTGCTCCCTGGGGTAGGAGCTAAGGATTATTAGTGGAATCGCTGAAAGGCATAAGGCCAGAATAATCAAGAGGAGCGAAGGGCTTGGAAAACAGCCAATCTGGCATCCCTTGTTTTGATAATCCCTTGGTTTCTCTAACCCAGAAAATTCATTTTGTATTTTTTTATGTAACATAAGACTGACATGTAGTATTAAAAAGTATCTCAATTTTTATAATTGCCTGGAAATTATGGGGCATTTTAGAGGAATCCATGAAAATAGTGACTTAATAAAAAAAAAGTAAAATAATAACAAAATTGGAGAGAAAATTTAGACCCTACATGACAGCATATGCAATCAAAATAATTAGTTTCTGATTGGCTCCCATGTGTTTGGCACATGCCATCGACCTGTTCAGTCTAGTCATGTCTACAGGATCAATTTCACTTATTTTTGCTGTCTTTAGCAGCAATGCCAAAAGATGAAGGAGCTTAGCAATAAGCATTGGGAGGTAGAAAGACATAAGTCCTCCTCTACCCTAGGTCATTTCAGGAGAAAAAAATGAGAAAAATTCCCATGAAATGAAAAAGTTTATACAAAATTCTAAGAAATCAATCTGATTTTTCAAGAGTGATCTAATTTTTATTCTATTCCTTTGCTGTTTAAAGCTAGTCCCAAAAGCTCCAACATTGGGTAGATGAAAATTCCAAACAAAAGAAGTCTCACAATTCCATAACCACCATAAAATATAAAGTAACTGAGGAGCCTTTGATGGAGTTTTGTGAGTTAGCTATGGTTAAGAGTATTAGCTAAAACCTAACTGATCACTTGAGCTGGAAATCTAATCAGGGTATCTAAAGCTCAAAAGAGATTCTAAATTGGGAAATCATAAAATATATTGATGATTTAAATAAATTTGATATTCTTCTCATTCTCATCTTGAAATCCTAACTAGCGTTTCAGGTCACTGCTGATAAACTTGCACTTAGTTCATTCATACAGCTTGAGCTTACCACTTAGTCAAGGGCATCTCTATAAGCTCATCTTTTAACCTACCAGCTAATCATCTCTACTACTAGGTGTAGTAGTTACTTCCCTGATGGACCTGCGTCTTCAGCTGCCGGCTACCCTACCTAATGTCTTACCTTCTCACTTTTGTACATGCCGTAACAATAGCTGGCAGGATCCTAATCTTTAGGCTATGTATCTTGAGACTGTTCAGAGAAATGCTAGTAAGTACAGAGACAGGCCACCTAAAATAGTGTTTAAAGCTTTACCGTCTCAGGAAAAGACTCCTATGATGATGGTGATAGAATTAGATAGATTCTAATTAAAATCAAAGGCATGTATCTCAGTATGCAGATAAAAGGTTGTCAAGATGAATGCGCAGAAAGTGAACTTATAAAGGAAAAAAATTATTGTGGAATAAGTCACCTACAGATTGGAGTGAAGCGAAGGCATTGAGAAGTCTGGGAGGATGCCTGTAAGGTGGAATGCTAGAGTCTAGCGATGCAGTAGGCAATTTACTTGAGAATGAAATTTCATTCTTAACCAATGGTACTGCACATATAATCCACAGACTCAGATAAAAGGAAGGTGGCATTTGAGGCTGACTACAACACTGCTCCACCTAGTGGACACTAAGGAGTTTCCTTAGCTCCCAGAAGTTTTGGTTTGACAGTGATTTAGCCCCAATAAGGAATGCTTTACTGAGAAGTAACACCAAAATCAACATTGCATAACAAAATGTAGAATGTAATGACCTACCTCTCAGAGTTCAAAATAACATTTAAAACCTAATGGTAAGAATCTAAGAATAAAAACCTAACTAAGATTAAAATATATGTAATTTTATAATTTTTTTGGAAAATCTCTAAGAGATTTTCAAAAAATATACAGGCATTTATATAGTCACCTACGTGCAGAAACTCAGGAATACTGATGCAAGTTTCCTACAAAAATCTCTGTTTATTAATGGAGGAAAACACAATTCTTGAACTATATGCAAAACATAATTCTGCTACCTCCCACCCCCGCCCCCCCATTTTTGTTGGGATGGATAGATTCCTTAGCTTAAGTTTTCTATGTCTGTCAATAGCAAGGCAAATGCTTTGTATTGTGATCATATATCCTACTGAATCATTTGATGAAAATATAAAATATAACTTTGCATAGAACTCACTCAAACAATGTAAATTAGCTACTAGCATTCTTGCTTCTGTTCCCCGTAGAATTCCACTATTGCCTATGGGTTGGGCAGAAAATAGAGACTTGAGTTACACTGTATTTCACTCAAAAAAATAGTTCATACAGTACTCCTAAGCCCACACAGAAACAGAAATACCATAAGCTTTTTGTTACTTCCTTCCACGATTCTAACATGGATGCCAAGTGTTCAAATCAAATACTGATTTTACCAACTGATCGGGTACACCCTAAGATTGGGCATAAGAGGGTGTGGTGAGGGAACAGAACTTGAGGAACAATGTGAATGCAGTGATCTACTTAGTGCACCTCTTCTGGCCTCGGAGATCCGAGATAGTAACCCATCCAAGTAAACTGATCAAAGTAATATGCATGTTGTTTACCTTTTTAATCCACTGACATTATCTCACAATTGCTCTGATCCTATAAAGTGAATCATGCTAGGATTCAAAAGACCTGTCCTTCACATAAACCTATGAATACACATTTACAAAATGATTTATTGTACATCTTTGCATTTCTTAAGGCATGAACAATGGCGTACAGATGGAACAGGTTCTGAGAAGCATCACGTCTTTTTTGACAAGGCCAGCACAAGCACACCACATCTAACAGACACTCTGGAGGGCCCCTCTGGCGCCTGCCGTGGCTCCGGAGCTCCTACCGTGGGGGACAGCGCTTCCCGAAAAAGGACCAGACACGTGGTTTATGTCACGTTGCTTTACACCTTTCTGGATCAGCTTTAAGCACCAGTTACAGTTCATTTTTCTTTACAAACTCTTCAGGCTTTGGGTTTTATATTCTGCTCCTTTATTCTGCTTTTCGAGAAGAAGGATATGGATTTTTTTTTTTTTTTTTAAGGAATATGGTTGCAGCAAAACAGAAAGGATCCAAAAGTGGTCAGGGGCCTTGTCTAATGCACTTCTGAAAGTCCATTATAAAGATGAATAGAAAAGCAAATGATCGGTTTTTAATCGACCCGGAAACCACGCGGAGCTCTAAGAAACATACTTGTGCATAGTTATTTATTCATTCAGAGCGTGATATGTTGGCTAGCTCTACATTCGTTTTACCAAAGAACAGGACTGTCTACTTTGCTAAACCCAGGCTCCTTTCTCAGCTCCCAATAGGTGTCATTAGAAACCCAGGCTTCTCTTTGATTGGCATCAATCACTTTCCTGTGAAAACATAAAAGTAGCATCAAACACAAATAACATCAAAACCGCCTACGGGACCCTGTCCTGTAAATGAGCTGCATATAAGCAGTACTTGAAATTAGTGTCCTATCTAAGTTTTGATGACTTGACTCATTAGACCAGAAACAAGTTCATTTTCATTGTTAAACATTTAAAATGGAAGTATGGGTGTATGTAGGGTCATGAGGAGAGCTGTCTTGGGCAGGAATAAATCATCTTGGGGGCTAGGGGGCGGGGAGGGAATGAAGTGCCCCCAAGTAGTGTGTACAAAGACTGCAACTAAGACTTCACCCCCTGACCCAGATCAATCTATTTCACTTTTGGGGTAATAGTAAGCAACCTTAATAATTCTAAGGACCTATGCAGGGTCTGTATCTAAAGAGCCCACTTCGACATTTAAAGGCCAAAACTCCATTTCCACCCAAGGAGGACACAAGATGGAAACTATGAAAGATTTGAATGCTATGAAAGACCAGTTCTTTCATTCTGGCTCAAGATAGTAACAGATGGATTTAGAAACTACAGATTAATTTGTGTGATATATACATAATCCCATAATAATCACACCACAACCAAATCTGGGTGACAGAATTAAAATGAAATACTAATGAAATCAGGATGACTTGTGTGGGCACGCATCCCACCCAGTCTCTGAAGAAGGGAGTGGGACACATTTCCATCATTCTAAAGGGGGTAGCTGAAGGACCAAGAATGCTCTGGACAAGAACACACACCTCTTTTTGCTGCCCACTCCCCCAAACACGAGTCATTGAGGGGAACTGATTTTTGTGACTATAAATTTTTACAAGTGCAAATCTGATTCAGTATCTCATTGCCAAAACAAAAGCTACCAACATCCGTTTAATTTTTCTAAACTTCACGTTCCCTGGACTCAAAATGCCCCTTCATTTATTTTTTTTAACCTGGAGTTTCTCATTGTGGCAACCATTCACAACATGTGAATGTGTTATAGGAGTGAACTGACTTACTTAAAAAATTTTGGTATATGTTCAAGGTTGTTTTCTTCCATGTATCGTCTTCGAGATCTCTGGAGTTCTTCTACTCTTTGTTTTTCTGCTGCAGCAGCTTCTAAATTTCCTTCTTCCAAAAATCTAAGCAGAATGTAGTTATTAATCTTTTAATCCATCATCCTCTTCTCAGAGAATAAAATAATCTCAATAGCACAAAATGACATTCTGTTGTTGAGGACCAACAGAATAAACAGCACGGCCCTGATGCAGCCCTTCACCCCTGCCTCCGGCTATAATTCCTCTGCCCACCCATCTGTGAATGCACTTCTAGTGCAGGTGACCTGAGTTGTCACCCACAACATCAGAATGAAGGCTGGGGTGAAAGGAGAGTGGTTCAGTTTAGGGGTTCTACATCTTGGTATTTTCTGGAAGGCTGGAGAGCCCAGGTTACACAGCTGGTCCTCCCAATTCATGCTCCTTTTCCATTTTCTCAAAAAGCACTTGTTAGATGTTAGCGGATTGAGGATGGTAAATGGCTGTTCATCACCTATTTTTAGAAAAGATTGAGAGGGAAGGAGTTTTCCTGTTTGATTGGAGAGAGTAAAACTGATGAACAAAAGAAAAGGTAGCAACTGGGGAACATTACAAAAGGAAGGGAATGAATGGTAAATGAAATTCAGAAAAGGAATACCGAAATAGAATTGAGAAAGAAAAAGCAGATCCAGTGATGATTTGCAAATATTTAAATTTCAAAGTAGACTAAAGTAGAGTTGCAATATGATACACATTTTAGAGGATGTTTATTGATAAATTTGAATGTCAAACAGTAAGACTACATGTCTAAAAAGAGAGAGGATATAAAAGAATTAAACAGTAGAGCATTCAATACTGGGAATAGTTTGGCAGAAGATAGATAAAACCACAAAGGCACTGGAAAGAGAAAACCATCTTGGGTGGAATCTGTGTGGCATGTATAATTTTGGAAAAGGTAAAACAAATTCTATAAGGATGGTCAGCGTGTGTACAGAACGATATAAGAATTTTATTTTGTTTTATTTTTATTTTTTTATGCATACAAGAGCTGAGGTGTGGAACAAAAGTGTGGGGAGGGAGAAGGGAGATTCACCAGACAAAAGAGTGGGGAGCAGAACAAGTGAATGTACTGAAATACACTGCTGAGAGGAGCAGTGTGCGAGACAGAAGAGGTCTGCTGAGGCCCAAAGAATAATTCTAAAAGGGAATCAGGTGTGAAAAGTGCTCTGCTTAGGGTCCAACTCATACACTGTGAGATCAAAATCATATTGGGTATGAGCCCAAGCATTTCCAGATGCCCCTATAATATATCTCTTATTTTTCAGTTTAAAAGATACTTCATGTTATAGAATTATTGAAATAAAGAGGTAAAAACGCTTGATGACAAGTGACTGCATATAGCAGAACAAGAATTCATGATTTTGCAGGCATTTGGTACAGTCTGGGTTGGTGCTGGGAGAAAGCGTTTTGTTAAAAGACATCTAGGGGCCCTCCCTGGTGGCGCAGCGGGTTAAAGCACGGCACTGAGAAGCTAAAGCCATTTCCTCATGAGTTCGATTCCCGCCTGCCCCGGAGGTGACCACATGGCGTGGCAGACCTCTCCTGACCCACCCGCTGCTCCCCTCAGCAGTGTACGTCGTCGATCTGCCTGTTCTGCTCCCCGCTCTGTCTCTGGTGAATTCTCTCACCCTCCGCATCTCTGGCCTGTACCCCAGTTCTGTACAAATAAATAAATCTTTAAAAAAAAAAAAAAAAAAAGACATCTAGGGAGAACTTTTTGTTGAGCTGTCCTTATGATCATCTAATGGATACTGCTCTACTTGGGTAGAAGACTCAACTACTGCTTAGTCAATAAAGAAATAAATGAATGGTTCAATAAACAAATAAATAAGTGATAGTGGTGAATAAGGCCTCAAACACAAACACATGTACAAGACCTTGTCACGATCTTGAATACCATCGTGATGCTCACCTTTGATCTGGTCGGAATCGGGCATCTGTTGGCGGAAGGAGATCTTTTAGTACAGGATCTAACTCATTGAGTTCAATCGCAAACCTTGTGAAGCCGTAGTAGAGCTCATAATTGGTTGGCATGGAACCTGGAATGAGGCCAACAAAGGACTCTTAGTAAGAAAAGGCCTAGGGAACTTGCAGAAGCTGACTCAATCCCGGTGCCTGATTAACATTTTTAGTCATTAACATTAGATAGGAATTTTTATTTTTATTTTCTTTAGGTTATGAATTTTAAAGTGAATTAATTGGTTATAGTTTGCTAGAAGGGAAACTTTATGTTAATTATCAGAACGGATGGATTTATGTATTTAATAAAATTCAGACTTTAAAGTAAAATTTTGCACACAAAGTAATCTTCACTGGTTAAACGGTGCCATGATTTTTCTTTCAAATATTTAACCAAGTAACTCTGCACCAGGGTGATTAACTAAAGACATTAAGATTTCATGAGAACTGCAATTTACTTCCATTTGGAAAAGAAAAACATGCAGAGCTAAATTAGTATTTATTGGCATTTTAAAACTCAAAAGCAGGATCTTTGTATACTCTGCTTATTGATATATTTCAAGTTCCTAGAACAGAGTCTGATGCATAGTCAATAAATACTCACCCAATAACTGCTGAATGAATGAACTAACTACTCTAATAGCAGGAAATTTAAGTACTCACTGAGATCTCTTAGGAAACCAACAACTAAATTTAAAGATAGGGATTATCTGACAAAATTCCAATGAAAATCAATGTCATTTGAAACTTGTTTCATTTACACTTGATATTCAATTACATGATAGTGTATTATCAGAAATCTCTTGGTGTCTTTATTAAATGTCAACATATTGCAGCCCTTTGTTGCTCAAGTGAAAAGATTATTTGTTCTACTAAAATGTTGAATTTTGGGGCTATATATGTTTGGAGGCTTTCCTTGGATTTAATGAATACCAGGATTAAATAACATGAGTAAGGATTTAAGTTGGTATATTTCAATTATCCAAACTCTTAACTAAATATACCTTGCTTTTGAAATGTGGAGATGACACATACAGTAATTTTAACTGAAGTCCAATTTCTGATGTTATATCTGAGATTTGACCTAAAGTTTAGAAGTCCTTATCATCAGAGATCAAATACTGGGACTTAACTTCCATGTTAAGTATGAACATAACTTATTCTAAGTGCTTCAAGTATATTAAATAAAACATTCTTTGGTTTAGCAGTATATTAACATTTTAAAAATAATTTTCTTACATACTTGTTAATTTTGGGACAGTATTTGTTTTCTTCACATCCCTGTAGAAAGATGTGAAGCCATCACTGTAGTCCCTTGTGCTCTTCCCTCCTGTTTTGAGCTCCCTTCCTCCCCCTCCCCTGCAGCATGTCTCAGATCTGTGGTCAGCTTGCGAGTTTTGTCTCTTTCCTGACCCTTTGTTCAGTTTCTCTATATTCCACATATAACTAAAACCATCTGGCATTTCTCTTTTTCCTTCTGCCTTTATTATTTTTAAAATTTATTTTATACATATTTTACATTTACATCCTTTTTCATTTTTAGACAATGTATGCTTTCTCCTCTCAGGTATAGCCCCTGTGAAGTACCCACCACCAATTCACCTGTGCCCCATCACCAAAATCCCATGTGCTCTTTCTTCCTCTGTGTTGATCCTTCTCCCTCCTCCTTCCCTGCAGAATGTCTCTGATTTTGATTTTTAATTTATTATAATTACTTATATTCTCCAGGCCCTTATTTGTTTCCTCCACATTTTTGCTGTAAGTGAAACCATCCAATATTTTTCTTTTTCTTTTTGGCTTATTTCACTGAGCATGATCCCTTCCAGCTCCATCCATCTTGCTGCAAATGGCATGAGTTTATCTTTTTTTGATTTCTGAGTAATATTCCATGTATTTGTATATTACATCTTAATCCAGTCACCTTTTTTGGGGCATTTGGTTGTATCAATAGCTTACCTAGTGTAAAAAGTGCTGCAATAAATATAGGGGTGCAGGTGTCCTTTTGAATTAATGTTTTTGTGTCCTTTGGGTAGATGACTTTAAATAAAACATTCTTAATGAAGAATATGCACACTTACTGACAATCCCTTTCTTCTACCACTCGCCACGTCCTCTAAGACAGGATATTCATGCTGGTCTCACCTGGTCTCCAGATGCACTTTGCCGAGGGCGCCACACCGCAGTAAAGCCCTTCATGCCACTTCCCGAACAGCCGGTGCACCACCTTCCCCTCCTGATCTATCACGACGCCCTGGACTTCATTCACATTAGAATTCCAATAATTCACCTGAAACAAGCAAATTCCAATTAAAACACCTAATCTCTAATAATATCGATCATGATCATTGCACAGGGAAAATTTTTTTGACTCTGAAGTTACTCATTCAAATCCTATCTAGAAATCTGTCTCAAAATGTTTGGTATGTGGAGGAATGGCTACCTAAGTGCTTGTCGGCTTAACTTTTAAGAAATGGATGATCTCTATGCCTTGTGCTAGCATGGAAGTATAACTCAGAAAAGGTTCAGTTTCCACTTTAATAATCCACAATTAATTTATAGACTAGTCATTTATTCCTCAGATCTTTCTATCTCAAATTTTCCTTTTGTGCATGGACTTTAGTGAATTTCAATAGGCACTATTCTTAGAAGTAATTTGTGAAGTAATTTTCACAATATCTGAAACTAGCTAACTTTCAGCATGAGGATCCCTCTTTCAACTGCGCTGCTTCCCAAGGGGTGATAAGTCTGGGGATTTATATGCCTGGATTCCACATTCCTTTCCAAATCCAAGTAGGTCAAACCCCAGATTCCCTGTTCATGTGAATCTAAGTTGATGCCACAGCTCACAAAGCCTTGTCCTAAAAAGACAGGCCAATGCACACATCTTTAAGCCTGAGGGGTGGCCAGTGTGGCCAGCTGAGGGCACTGTGACAGGAGGTGGGACTGTGGGCTGGATTGCCTAAGTGACTGATGTGTGAAGCCCATCGAAATGCAGGATAGAACTGGTGATGGAAAAAAGGTGGTAGGCTGTGAGGCAGGACTGATTCTCTTGCTTTGTTAGGTTTCTAGGCCTTGCCGGTTTTGTTATAAAAGGTATACTTGTCAAGGTGAAAGGACAGAACATACTTTACTTGGTGGTTTTTAGGCCTGATTTATAGATCTTAAATATTTACGCAGATGATATGGGAATTTCTGTTTATACTCTTGGCCTAAGCTCTGCAAATGTTAGGAGCACGCCTCATGGCCTCTAACACTAAGTGCACACATTTATTATTATCTCATAGTCTGAGCAAATAATGATCCTGGCTCTTCAATTCCGAGTTACCCTAACAAGTCTATAGAAAAAGAAGAAAATAATCTAGAAGTAATAAAGATATTCAATTAAAACTAACATGACCTTCCAATATGGCTTAGGAGGATTTGACTAAGCAGAAAAAATTTTAGGTTTTAAGATCTGTATATTACTTGTTTATACCAAATTAGAATAATACTAGAAGAAAAACAATAAAGGGAATGTGTGGAGTTTCAATTCCACACTGACTTTCACATCACCCTTAAATAAACATGGGGGTGACAATGTACTCAGATCCTCAAGTATCATCATGTTGTTCAACTTTGTCTTATTATAATATTGATGTGAAACAATAAATAAATTGACTCCTGGCCATAGACACAGTCTATAAATTTGCAGGTTCTTCCCATGTCTTCCCATGTCCATGTGGGGTTTCCTCTGGGTGTGTCTGTTTCCTCACACATCCCAAAGATGTGCCTGCAAGGTCCACTGGCAGGTCCTGATGGTCCCAGGGGGTGAGTGTGCCCTGTGACAGGAGGCTTGTTTCCACCATGGGCCCTAAGCTGCCAGGATAAGTGCTAGTCACCCAATGTTCTAGAAAAAGTGGGTGGGAAGAAAAGTGAGTGAACACAATTTATGTTTAATATTAGAAGGACTTTTGTATCTTTATCTAGAAATTTGGTGGTATTTTTATGACCACAGCACTTAATTTGCACTTAATTATGGTCACAGTACATAATTCTTACTTGTATCAATTAGATTATGGTAAAATTAATTTCATTTTACATCATCTTGCTTAAAATTGCAGTTTTCAAAAAACTATTGACAACTTACTGTGCATTCCACTTCAGGTAAGAGAGACTGAAGGATAATGGTGGTTTGTAGATATTTCTATCCTGACTTCTTTTCTTATTAAAAGATAATGCTTTTTGTTGAAGTTATTTGGATTAGAACAGTGGAAGAGTTGGATAAACACAGTGAGGACTAGCTGTCATCCACGTATTCCCAGAATATGGCAACTATTTTATAATTAGTTCCCTAAAATAAGATGATTTGCTTATGTTTTAATCAGGCAGAAACAAAAATATACCTCAGAAGACTTGTTATAGACAAGAAGTGTTTTCTGGAATTTTACTTAATAAACTGGCTAGCTGCTAAAAAAAGAAAACTCTCTAAAAGCAATTGTTTTCTGTTATGGAATGTTGCCCCTTTTGTCCTTCATAAATTCAGAAGACCATCTGCACTCCATCAGTTGGGTCTGCTTTCTTATCTAAAATATCCTTAAGGAGCAACAACACAGGACAGACTCACCATTGCTTATGGTAACTGTTTTCATTTTCTCTAGGAACACCTTGATTGTAAGATATTATTTTTGCTTGATTGTAAGATATTATTTACCTTGATGAATGTGAGTTTGCAAATGCAAACACTGCTTTTAGTATTTCTAATGGTTATTTCTCCATAATGTTCTATCCATCTCCTCCCACTGAGAATGTTGTGTATACACGTGGTGACTTTATTCCACACATAGCAATCTCCATACCTTGCGAAAAATACAACATTGATTAAAAACAACAAAAAAAGGTCACAAACACTACTATTGCTACTAATGGGCACATCTTTTTGGCCAATGCTGCCTTTCCCCTCATTTCCCTCTCATTTCCCTGTTGAAAGTCTCCATGTGGTCAAGAATATTTATTACATGATTTACTCACTTAAGGGACATTTTGCTGTTTTCCATGGGTAGGATGCTACACTTATGATTGCATGGAAAAGAAGGGACCCTTGTATATAAAATGCCAGCCAGGGCTCTCCCTGGTCGCGCAACGGATAAAAGCACTGCATTATGAAGCTCTCTGAAGCACTGCAGCAGAAGTTCTATCCCCCGCCAGGGACCTGACACACCCGGGCATGGCAGACCTCTCCTGGACTGCCTGCCACTCCCCTCAGCAGTGTACCTTATCAGTCTGCCTGCTCCCCACTCTATCTCTGGTGAATCCTCTCACAGCCCCTGCACCACTGGCGTGTACCCCAGTTCTGTATGCATAAATAAATACATCTTTGAAAAAAATAAAAAAAGCTAGCCAGTGCAGTGATGAGAAGAGGTTGGCGCCTGGGGTTGCCCTGGGAACAGAGACTGTGAAGAGAGAGGTAGGGAACTTTGGGGCATCTGCAAAAGCTCTCCTGGCTTTGTTTGGGATCCATTTTCAGAGCATTAGTGAAGTTCACAGAAGCTTTGGTCAGACAGGGAAATGGCCCATGGGCACATTCTTGAGTTGCAAATACTCATTTCTTATTTAGAAGAGCGGGTAAGAAGATAAGATGCAAGTAGCCTACCTTGGAAGCATGACATTCAGTGTTCCAACAGGCAGGATTTCCATCGACTTTCCCCAGAACTTGTTTTTCCATCTGATATCTGAATGACGTAAGTGGGAGACTAGAATCACATCCTTCAGATCTAATCATTTATTCTATAAAAACTAACTTTTGTATTATACATGACAGCTCACAAGAAACTTTTGTGATGACAATTGATTCTACATTACTGATTTAACATGACAGGTCCCTGAGGACCCAAGGTGAAAAAATTAACTGTGAGCCAAAAAAATTTCTATCCAACTTTCTCCTTTATACTCCATACATATTTTCAATTAAAAAATGGGAAAAGTCTGAAGTAATATTTCTGTGTATAATTTATATTGACATACAAATATATTCCACTGTACTTTAATGTTTGATTAATTTTCTAAATTTTAGCTAGATGGTGAAAGGAATATATATTATATATCTATATATGTGTGATACACACACACACACACACACACACACCCCTATAGATATATGTATATAATGAGGTGTATAGGATAATCAGTAAATGGTAAAAACACTATATACACACATTTATTCGAGGAATTACAGCATTTAGAAGACTAGTAAAAAAAATGTCTAAAAGCAGGCAAAATTTATGAGAAGAGGTGTTAGCTAATGAACATGTTCTTGCCCAGTTGTTAAGATAAAGCCCAAGGCCCAACACCTCAACTCACATATGGGCTTTATCTTTTACTTGTGGAAACTCTGATTTACCTGTGCACTTATAATAATTGCCAGGGTTGCATTTGGATGAATTAACAGAGCTTACTACTATCTCCACAAAATTTCTGATTCTGTGTTATAACCATGAAATGACTGGTTTTCTTATTTTGTAAAGTGCACTTATAATGCTCTATCGTGTATTTTTAGGTTGAGAAGAAGTCCCTTCCAAATGAAATAGTAAAACTACTTCTACTTAGTGGTCCAATTTACAGATGTATTTTTTTCTTTCTAGACAAGTATAGGACCTTTTAATTTTAAACAGGTTTGTAATTCTGATGGACATTGATGTAGCAGAGACTCTGAGTTAATTCGCCAAGCTTTGATGAGCTGAAGACGAAAATCCTGGCAATGAAACTATGACTGTGGATGGTTTGCTGGAGAGAGGCCTCGGGGGTCAAGATCTTATTGCTCACCTTCAAGATGCAAGAAGGTCACAGCTATAATCCCCATTTACAGATGCAGACAATGAAGCACAGCCGGATAAGTGCTAGCCTACTTTTGCTGCACTGGGGACTTTGCATCTCATCTCCTAGATGACATAGTTTCATGTTCATTTATTATTGTATTTTAAAAAACATGTATGGCTTTACCACACATCTTTAAACCAGGAAACATAACTTCTCAACCTGAACTCCATGTCAGTCACTGACATCATTGGAGTTCTAAAGGAGAAATCTGAAGGCAATGTACCTTTGGGAACTAAAAACTTTTTGCAGGTCCATAAGATGGAGTGAGTTATAACTGAAATACAAACCTTGCCAAAACACAAAATTCTTGGATTCACAGTGACAGGCAGAAATGGGTGGATGATGGCTAACCTGGTAGTTAAAACATAAAAAGAAGGCATTAGTGTTAAAACTTCCACATGAATGATAATTATTTTATAATACACATTGGGTATCCTCAAAAACCTACTCAACTTACTCATATCTACTAGTGCATTATTCTTTTTTTTTTAAAGATTTATTTGTTCATACAGAACTGGGGTACAGGCCAGAGGCTCAAGGGTAGCAAGAGGCTTCACCAGAGACAGAGTGGGGAGCAGAACAGGCAGATCATCGAAGTACACTGCTGAGGGGAGCAGCGGGCAGGTCAGGAGAGGTCTGCCACGCCATGTGGTCACCTCCGGAGCAGGCGGGAATCCAACTCATGTGGAAGTGGCTTTAGCTTCTCAGTGCTGTGCTTTAACCCGCTGTGCCACCAGGGAGGGCCTAGTGCATTATTCTTAGAACAAATTAATGAAGCCTTAACTTTTAAGATTTTGTTCCTAAACATAAAGGGCCATTATATAAATAATCTTAGTGAGTTTCCTGTAACTGGTATTCTAACGCATCCCAAGATGTTTATCAAGAAGTTATTCTCAACATCTTCTGCTACATGAAACCTCACTGAGTCACTGAGTGCAGTGGGACTTACCTGTTCAGAGAAAAATCGAAATCCCTTGTCCTCCCTAATGCATTCGTAAGTCTCCCCGAGGACAGGGTTGAATGGCTTACTTCCTGCTCTGAAATAGGTAGAGCAATATCCTGAAACTGCAAATGCAGCAATAAGAACCTGTTAAAACATTTAAGAAAGGAAAATAATATAGGAGAGACCACTTCCAGGTCTGTTCCTTATTCCTCTCAATTTTGTACCCCCCACCCAACACGAGGGACTGACTTGATGCCATCTGCATAGTCCATTATTCACACACTCTTCATCAACCGAAAGGGAAAAAAGAAGGGAAAATCAGGTTAAACTCTGAGTGGGAACCAGCAGGCAACTAGGTACTCTCCATCTCTCTACCCAACTTGCTGAATATCAGGGCTAAAAGGTTCAAAATTATACCATTTGCACAACTTAGCACCGTGTACAGCAGAGTTGTGGGTGCTTTTCAGGGACTGAGTCTAGTGTTCCACAGTCATGTGGAAGAGACGGCAGGGCCAAGCACAAACAGGTTACTTAAACTCATAAGGGGTACCTAACTCCATAATGGAGCACCTAGATACCTTTCCACCCTAACTTCAGAAATACTCTGAACCAAGGGTGAGCTACCAAGTTTGCATTTTTTTTTCTTTGTAACAGTTTATTTTTACATCATTTTGTACTTTTTTTTTTTCATCTCAATTGTAATCCCCGTGGGTTTCTCATCACCAAGTCACCCGTGTGCCATTACCATAGTCCCGTGTACTTCCCTCCCCACCCCCCCGACCCCCATTTTTGATCCCATTCCCCACTCCACCCCCACAAATTGTCTCTGGTATATGGCTGTTCATTATTCTTATTATTTTCTCGCCTGGTCCATTATACTCCAGCTATGAGCGAAACCATCCGGTATTTTTCTTTCTCTTTCTGGCTTATCTCACTAAGCATGATCTTTTCCATCTCCATCCAAGTTGCTGCAAAAGACATGTGTTTCTTTTTTTTTTTACCCAATTTTGATTTTTTAAATAGAGTTCTTGGAACTTTTTAGCCCTGGCTGATTTATGCAAAGGGGTTGACTTTTCTCATCTATGCAATGAGAATGCTACACACAAACCAAATATGCCATCAATGGATCCTGGCTTAGCCCAGACCCAGAGCTGACTAATGCAAGGGCGCGCTACTCTGTCCTTTATTACCATGCGTTCGTAGGGATCGTCAGTTTCTGAAGCCTTGTCCAGGAGCTCACTGTATTCGATTTCCTCACAGAGATGTTGCAGAGTGTTGAGTGGCTCGTTCAGCTCCACCGGCATAGAGACTTTAGATAGGTCTTTACCAATGTTGTTCCTCAAGATATTCCACAGGTTGATGTTACTGGTATCAGGACAGGGGGCTGGCAGGCATGTTCGACGTCCGTTTCGGAAGGCCCCTCCAGTAAGCTCCCCATTCAAGACTGAAGGAGGGACAAAAACGAGGATCACCATGAACGAGATCTTGGTGCCTCTTATTTCATCAACCTCGAGTGAAATTACCTCTGATTTCAAAAAATTTGAATGTAATATATTTCTGAACCTTAATTCTACTCTCATGGGTGAACAGAACTATTTTTATACAAGATTGCTAACAAATGCACAAAATAAGAATATATAGTTTTTTTTTAAAACAAAAGGTGTGAACTATACTCAAATATTACTCAAAAGGTAAGTCAAATAAAAATATGTACAAGTATTTAATAAGAAGGATTGGAGCTTTTACAATTAACTACAACTTTTTCACTCAATCATCTACCTAATAGTTTTCAATCACTTATTTCAACAGATTACACAAACAAAAATTCACTGAACAATCAGTTGTGGAAGAGAAATCAGTGGAGCGGGCTGGGGGCAGGGTGATGGGAAATGGCTGCTCAGTGATTACAAGACGAGATTTAGTTTCACAGTCTGGCCTGTAGAGAGCAAACTGAAAACACATACTTTGCCGAGAAATGTTGTCTGCAACACTGGTGTTGTCTTCAGAAATATTATCGCTCACATCACTAATGTAAGACTCGTCATCTGAAGCCTAAAGAAGAGAAAAACAGACAAACAATGAGAATATCGCTTAGTTGTCAGAGAGGAAGAAAAACAAATGATTAAAAACAACAAGGTGTTGCCCAAATGAGAAGCAGAGCTCACAGGGGGAAATGTGCTTGATATACGCACTTCGAACTTCTGTGGGTCTTCCATGAAGCAGTACACAGATGGCTAGAGAGCAGTCCCTGTCTTTCAGTAGCTCCATGTCTTAGCTGGGAGGGAGATTTGGGATGGCCAATATATAACCAGAAATATTTCAGTATGATGCAGTAGGAATGCACGGTAAGGGTGCCCAGAGTAAATATATTTGAACTGGGCGTTGGAGAAAGTAGGAGTTGCCTAGTCATCAGAGGGGAAGAAAAACAGGAAGAAGGGAAGTGCACTGGCAAGGGCCACTAGAGAACCATTTATTCCAGGAATGATAAGAATGTGAAGGGACTTAATCACCTACAGCTTGTGTAATGAGAACATGATGCCCAAGCCAAATGTGCCATGATAACACACACAAATTAAGTCTCGTGAGTGCAGTAGACTTACCTGTGCAGCGAGTGTGACTAAGCTGAGGCACACAAAAAGGGTGTGATTGAAAGGCTTTTATGTCAACATAAAGGTTTCACATATAAGCCAATGAATTTTATATTCAAGGGAATGATAGAGTCAGAGTGAGAAGGAAGATATTTGGCAGCTTCCGCCAGGGAAGTTAGATAATCAGATATTTTATAGATCTGGATTAGAAAGATCCTGACAGCTTTGATTCAGATGGCCATGTGATGATCCAGAGGTAAAATGCCATTTTAGAGCCTTGTCTGATGTATAATAAATAAAATCTGGTACCTTATTTGGAGATGGGAGGAGGGAGACTCAGGAACTGGGAGATAAGCTACTAGGGCCCCATTAAAAAAAGTGAAGCCAAAATTAGCATGAGAATGAAATTCAGGGGGAAGGCTTGTAGGAAAAGGAGTTAGAATTGGAGCAGAAAATAAAGGAATATGCAGAGGCATTCTAAGTATGGGGAAGCCAGTGTCCCACTGCAGACAGGAAATTTGTGGCCATCTATCCACTTTCTTTCAAAGGGAAAATAGCATTACATATTTTTTTCTGAACATAAAATAGAGCTTTCTTATTGTAAACAGAAATGACAGGATGGCAGGTGATGATATGAAAATTACCCTTAGTCCCATCACTTGGAGGAAACCACTTTTAACAGCTATTAACCAATAACTAATAACTAATTCCCTTCAATTTTAAAACACACATACAAACACAGTGACAATCTATCTTTCCATACTAAAAATAGGTCAATGGACATGTTGTTTTACAGTTTTCTGAGTATATTTCCACTTTGAAAGTCTATTTGCAATGGCAAAGCATTCACTAAACAGTTATGACAAAAAGACTTCAACCAGCAAATTTAAGTGTTTTCCAACTTGAATGAATGTTCTTTTAAATACATTCCTGTGAATCTATGTGGCCATTTGGTTCAGATTTATTCCTAAAAATAAAATAGCTGGGTCAAATATGTCCCTCCTAGGCTTTAATCACATGTTCCTAAATCGCTCTCCTGCAAGATTGTACTAAATTATTCTCACCAGCAGTATCTGAAAGCATCCACCCTTCACGCCCACTTAAACACTACACATATCAATCTTTTTTTGTGTTTCTCTACCGAAGTACAGAGATTTTTAAATCAAAGTTTGAATTTCAATTTTTATTGAATGTGTTTATCTTTCACACTTTTTTCAGCCAATCACAGGTAGCATTTTTTTTTTGGCATAAAAAGGTTTTAATTAGTATGTAATAAAATCAGTCTTTGCCTTTGTCCTTTAAAATTTCTGTATTTATTGCTGATGGTTTAAAATGAGAGTCCAGAAAATTTCTTATATTTCAGGGAAATAGAGTACTAGAATGCTCACATGCATAAAGAATACTATAAGTTTTTATGAGCAATTCTGTAATGAGAGCAAAAGATGAATAAAGTCATTTTGCAGTGGATATTTTCCCCCCACTGTAAATGGTTTCCAGTTCCTTCTGACTGTAACTTGATAGAAAATAGATGTAATTTCCCCCGTACTCAAATGATGTGATTTCTCTGCAAAAAGTTAAACACACCCAATTATGTTTTTACCTGCCTTATAGAAGTTCATGTTGCACGTTGGAGAAATTCATGTTGTATGCATGTAAATTTCCTGAATATTTATTAAGAAAACACTTGTTTATCCTATAAAAACTATACAGCCTATTCCAATTGAATTTCTAAGCTTGCTCAAACTAATGCAGGATAGAAATGGTGCTATACCCTTGCCCAAGTAGATGGGTTATATAGATGTGAAGGAATTTCACAATGACAGTGCACCTCAAGTAAGATCTATATTAGCATGTGTGAGCAGTAGCTAAGTCTGGGATCTGAGAGTATTCAGGTGATAGAAGTCACAGAAGGGAAATGCCCTTGGTATTTGTGGTGAACACTAGGGTACAAAAACACTTAGATAAACATGAGTATGTTTGTGTGTTGTTTTTCCATGTGTGTTGTACATATGTGTGCACGTGAGTATGTGTGTGTAAAAGGTTTGTCAATTAATTTGGTTTATGGAAACACGCAGAATTAGAGGTTCATCGCAGCACCCAGTTAACAATGTCTCAATGTCTCATAGGTTGCTGGCTATGTGGCCCTGAGCCAACTGTCATGCTCTTCAGACCTGCTCTCTTTGAGTTTTATATGTGCAAATCTAAATGATCACCAGGTAATTCCATTGAGAGATCTGGTAAACCTACAGCACCTCAAATTGAATGTAACTTCTCTATGCATCCCTGCACTCTACTTCTTCATCACCCCTCTGCCTTCAAGGGTTCTCTTCTTTTGAGGTGGTACCACCATCTTTCTTGGATTCATGCAACAATCTGCTCCATGTTCTCTTCATTTCTCTATGGTCAGAGTCTGGTGCAAGAAGCTTGAGTGTGCCCCAAGAACTTAAAAATAGGGAAATTAGGTTGCTCTCAGAACACAAAGTTACAGGGTCATCAGTTGATGGGTCAAATAATGATAAGCTGATGATGTAAATTTGACTGTAACCTGACTGAAGAGGCTGAAGGAGTAGTTGGCTATGGCAACTCAGGAAAGAGAGAGTCAGAAAAGAAAATGCTGTTAGCCTGTCTTCAGGCCCCTGGGTGTACAGACACTGGCCCACAAGTACAAACATACCACCCGTGGCAAAATATTTCTTTAATGAAGATGAAACTTCATTGGACTTATTCCATCCTGGCCCTCCTAGCCTTAAATTCACTCAACTCCCTTCTCCTGCCCCCCATTCTCTGCTCGCAAAACAACCTCCTGACTACAATTAAGCTTCATGCAGATTTGCCTAAGGGAAAGAGACACTAATCAGCAAGCATGATTATTTTGTCCATCTGATAGCATCAATTGTCATTATGAATAATGAAACTGGTACTTGGCTAGTGAGTGGGAGTGTAAATCTTAATGGCTGACTGGGGATCTGAGAGGCAGGTGCATGGTTGGCGTGGTAACCAATTCAGTACCGGATACAAGAACTCTATTTTACCTTTTCCCCATTATAAAAGTGAACGGCATTCATTATTTCTTCCTTGTTGCCACTTATTTTTGTTTCTAAAATCACTCATAATTCCAAACACCCAAAACAACAACTACTAATTGTCAGGATGTTTTCTTCCAATCTATTTCCTATACATATGGAAATAACGTTTAGCAACTATTTCATTTCCTTTCTGTAAAAGTACTGTACAGATTTGCAATCTCAAATGACAAAATTCCTAGTCAACTGTGGGAATGAGTTTTGGCTGTGCCTCTCAGGAAGAAAAAAAAATATCAAAGTCAAAACATACTTGACTAAATTTCAGAACAGAATTAATTTCTGCAACCTGACCCAGAAAGATTCCATATTCCATAGACCCTTCTAAGACTCACAAAAATAAAAAATAATCCAAAAGAGCTCTTCATGATAGGCAGGTACCATAATTATCCAACTAGAGATATGCGAGACATTATCCTTTTAAGCTCAAATTTATGTCTCTGGCAAAGGTTTATGTGTGTGTGTGCATGTGCATGTGAGAGATGAACAGTAATTTTCTAATTAATTCTACAGTTTTTTGCTAGTCTTCTATGAAATGTCAACTACTTCATTAACCTGAACTATGAATCATAAAAGAAAGTCAGAATAAATGCTTGATTTTTTCTTTTGTTCATCTTTTAATAATAATAACTTGGTGCTCTGAAGTATAAAGTGCTTAGTAAGAGGGAACTAATATTTGTATGCCTTTGGCTTTGCTACTATTTGAACATCTTACTAGGATATTTAAAAATTTCCATACTCTTACTGTCTTTAACCCAAAGTCATGGTCAGAAGCAGATGGGACTGAAAGAAACTTACCTCATTTTCTGAGGAGCTTGCAGAGAGGAGCACTTCTTGAGCATCAAAGAACTCAGAGACAGACTCTGACATGGACAGGCGGCTCTCATTGGCTACTTGCTGTGAGAGGGGAAGACTGACATGGATTTGTTCACCACCCTACAGTAGGAGAAGAGCATAAGGAGTAATCATTTTCACCTTAAAATAGCTGTCTGTTCTAATCAGATCATCACGTCCTAGCCAGATTTCCAGTGAAATACACACCATATGTTAAGAGTACTGACCACAAATAATTTTCACTTGCATCTCAGTAATCACCTCTGATGAAACTTCCTTCCTCTCTGTGTCTAGAGAATCCAAAAGGCATAGTTCAAAGATGCTGGTTCTGTGAGCTGATTTTAGGTCTATGCCCAATTGATATTAATTAACATGTTGAGTCTCTCTCAGTACTCTGAATTGGCCATAGAGACAAGTCCATTCTCATATACTCAGGTGTGTCATTAGTAGTAATATTCTAACCAGCACACTAAACCTCGAGAGAATTTTCTGGAAACCACTAGAGAATGGTAAGAAAACAGTCTACAAGACTCATTTTTTAGATAATAAATATCATTTTCCAATTTGATCATGAGTTTTAATCAATGAAACATGTGATAGAATATTGAGCCTTATTTCAAACTATATTTTATTCAGTAAATAATAAATACTACTTTCAAGGAGTTTGTTTGAGTTTCAGTTGGAAAAATATGCAAGAAAAGTAAAATGTGAGAAAAAAATGTTTTTCAGTACACATGCCAGGCTGAAAAAAGACTCAAACTGAGACTGAATTTTTGAGTGACAAAATTTTAGAACTACTTCTAGATTCTGGACAGCTGAATAAGGACAAGTGTCACCAGAGATCCTGGAACATACAGAGATGGTGGGGACACAGGATGGGAAACTTAAATTATTGAGAAGCTGTCTTGGATGGTACTTTATACACCTGTAGAATTTTGGTACAATATATTATTTTAGTACAAATGTGACCTTAGTATTAGTCTTACTATTACTAATACTAATTGTCTTTATTACATGTATAAAGCTATAATATGTTTAAAAGTATAAAATATTAAGATTATAAGTGTTTTTATAAAGGGGTATAAACAGAATTATGCTCTGAAGCCTAGCCCAAATATTGCATGACTTCCTATGCTGTTACATTTCAGTAGTACTACATTTAGTAGATCCTTTGATCTGAAAAAGCACCTACCTAAGAGTTTTGCTGGGAGTGTCAAACGGGATAATACACATCAAATGACTGGCCCAGTGCCTAGCACATAGGAAGCACTCATTTTACATGTGTTAGCTATCACTGATCATCAATAGTAGCTATAGCAGCACCATTAGTATTAGCTTAACAAGACCAGATGGCTTCTCTCCTTGAGATTTCAAAATTTTAAGAAAACTTTTATCTAGCACCTTTTCAGTGAGAATATCTTTTTCAATATTCCATGGATCTTTTGATGAGAGTGAGCATTTAAAATGAAGACTGGAACAAACACTGAAAATTCACAAGCTGAAGTAGACATAAACAAAATATTCTGACATGAGGTGAATATAGGAATAAAACTGATGATGCAGAATAAATGATATCCAGTTCATCTATATCCCTACTCCAAAGTGTCAGCACTTTGTACACTTTGTATTGGGAAGCTGTCAGCAACACGAATATTTATTCAGGAAGTCTTATTAACATTAAAAGAACTGTACAAAAATAAAAATAGGCAGTAAACTCAGACACTTTAACATAAGTATTCTACATCTATTAAAATGAGTCTTACCTCATCAGGACTAGGAATAATATTGACACTGACAACCTGATCACAAATAATAGATTCTGAATGTATTCTGTTCAACCGACTCCTCAGCTCAGCATTCTGGTTGAGGGCCTTAAAATAACAAAACCACACATGTAATTTTGGATTAATAAGCAAGTTTAAAACAGAATAAGCACACAGGAACAGCTTAGACAACAAAGTCTATGATGTTCTCAGTTGTAAATTTTTGGAGTCATCATAAGCCAGATCCTACTGGCAAGAAGGAAATACACAGCTCAGAATTAAGCTATCCAGTAATCAAGACTACTACTTAGTAGGTTAGGGGACTAAAAGATCTCATGGGATTCATACAAATGATTCACGGACTTTTCTTTTTCTTTTAGAATCAAGCTTATTACTTCTAAGCCCAGTCTACCACCACATATATATTACATTTTCAGGCTGGGATCAAAACTATTGATTTCTTCCATTTTTTGATTATTGTTCTATTTTCTAAGTTTGGCGGTTGTTTCAAAGTGAGATGGGTATCTTAAAAACCACCTGGAAATGAAAAGAACAAAGAAATACCTTGATATTTTGTGGTCCGGTGAAAGGAAATAGTTGCATTTTCATTTTTTAGCAGCATATAGTAATTCATATATGACAGTGCAGCAGAACTAACTCAAATGTAGATCAAAAGCTGCCTTTGCTGAGCAGCACAGATATCAAGAAGAATGAAAATGAATGCAAAACAGAAAGAAAGCTAACTCCAAGTTATCTACATCACACTATTTTCAACACATTCTACATCTGCATCAGTAAACCACCACCTGCTCTAACACCATTTAGTAAAGGCGGCAAGCAGAGAACAGCGTTACCTAAGCCTGGTGTCCCTACAGGGGCCCTGGGGACAAAGGCGTGTGCATCACAGTGATGCAAGGGAACATGCTCACCGGTAGCAGATGAAGCAACTGGATCACAAGTCTCAAGCAAAAGATATTGGTGAGGACAAAGGTCCAATGAAAAGCCGAACAGCTCCTTTCCTTCCCATTAAAAGTGGCAATTAGAAGTAGAAGCAGATGTTTTAGACAGTGGAAGATAAATGTCAGATTTGAATGAAGAGAGTTGTCTGACCCATGCATTCTGTTGTTCTTCAGATGGAATAAGGGAATACAGTGAACCAAAACATACACATGTGCAGTGTCATAGTTATAACTCCGTGCCTGTTCAAACACCCAGGGAAAGACACAGCGACTGGGCCTCGCTCTCAGATTGAGTGGTGCAGAGACATCCAGCACAGACACGCAACACTGTCCTCTCCCTGTGCCATTCCCCCTTCCTCCTTGCAACCCAGTTTTTGCTTCCTAAAGAGAAAACTATTCACTTTCAGCTTTTGATTTTTGTGTCAAGTTTTTAGAACTTGTAAAATATGTCTAAAACATAACACACTTGCTCAGGTAAGCTGAGCACTATCGATGGGTTAAAGGTATACCGATCCTTTAGCCATTACATCTGCAGCTGGGAAGGAGGACATAGGTAGCCAGCTTGCAGAGAAAATAGAGATGTAAGAAAAAAAGGTAATTATACTATTTTAGTAAAAAAAAGCAAATGTGCTTCAAAGCAAGGATCTTAATATCTTTACATTCTACAAAAGTGCACAGGCTCTTCTTTCTAACAACAAAATTTCAAACATCTGGAATTTCAAAAAAAAAATACTGCATTACTTTCATCTTTTGTGGCTACTCTACAGTAGTTTGTTCTTTTATTACTTCTTTGTCTACAAGTCTTCTGCAAGTACTAACGTGCTTGGAACAAATTTCTTTTGTTGTCTTGGAAGTGAGAAGCCCCCTGGCAGGTGGCTTGATGGTTTTAAACACCGAATCACAGTCTCAACCTGATAGTTCATAATGTATGTAGGCACCAGACACACCTCAACAGATAGCTCCTGCCAACAGAATGTACCTTCTGTTGCCACAGAACAGAGTTGACAGAACATCTGCACAAAACTCAAAGGCAATGATAAACTTGGTTTTCTGCAGGGTAAGAGTATTAAAGACAAGCTTGCCATTTATGAGGTAAGGAATACTGTTTTTTTGCTCTAGCTATTCTTATATGAGAATTAAGTTCCCCCTATAGTCATTAAATGGAACCCTGCCTACAGGTGTATGTGTGGAAGAGAACATCTAGCCATTGATACCAACAGGGAGGGAGGTAAATGTTTAAAAGGAAACATTTTATTAATAATATATATGCAGTGGTAGAAAAAAGTTGCTGTTTTAGAGCACAAAAAAGCTTAGAAATCAATACTGTTCCACCTCTGGCAATCCTAATGCTAGAAAGTGTGGGCAGACAGCGGAGCATGCAACAGCCCATTTCTGCACAGCTCACTAGCGGCACCTCCTTTTGCCTTGTCCACACAGCTGATTTTGAAATTGGCCATAACCAACAGTCCTGAGCTTCATAGTACAGCTCCCTGGAGATGCAGGGTCACGTTCATGACTTCCCTTCCTAAAGCTCAACATGGGAAACTTGAAAAATATTGCCATTTTCAGTGAAAGGATTCTTTTAGTGATAATTAACACAGAAGAGCCCAAATGATGATAGAAACAATGTAAAGAATGCACTCAGGGAGCAGGAACAACGGTGAAGCAAGGAAAAAGGAGGCCAGCCTCTCGAGAGTCAGCCAACAAGCAAGAATAGAGCAGCTCTGGAGATCAGTCAGTAATGATATCACTTTGTGCCACACATGAGCAGAGGCCTGATAGGCAGGAAGCACCCTGAAGCTCAGGAACAGGGCTAGACTCTTCATCAGGCAGGCTCTAGGCTTATTTTCACTCCTTGTTTTTGTTAGTGAACTCAGACTACACTAAAACTCTCCACAGTGTCTGTCTACTCTGCCAGTGCCTCTCTCACATCCTCAGACACAGTCTTGTATATCCAAGAAACAAGTCTTTATTAATCCATAAAGAAGCTATCATCTTGAAGTTCTGAGCCAGAATCATTTGTCCAAATCCCCACCATCTTGTCTATAACTACATTCATGTGCCGTGGTAGACAGTGGGTGAGAATCACCTGAAGCTGTGCAAGACGTTGACGGCTCCGCTTATTGAATGGAAATGAGGGTTCTGGGAAGGAAACCTGATGGCTAAAGAGGGATCTGAAATGTGTGGCCAAATGGAACTACAGAGACTTCAACTCTCTGGATAAAAGCAAACCCAGTTCAAAAGAATTTAAAAAATTAGCATGAAAATGTCAAACTAGAGGTATCAAGAAATAGATAGTATTATAGTATATTTGGAAAATGACAAAAACTTAAAAATTCGTATCTTACTGCCAATCAACCAAATACTGGTAGGTTGGTATATTTCTTTCAATCTTTTTATCTTATGCATTTTCCACATTATTTAGTGGGAACATAATTTACATCCATGTCTGCCATTTATTCCTTGCACATAAAGATTATTTTATCTGGTAAACCCTTTGCAAGTATGATTTTAATGGCTGTAGAATAAATTATTTTCTACTAATGGGCAGCTTAGGCGCTTACTGATTTTTAATAGAACAAATGATGATGTCATGAATATTTATGCTACACAATGTTCCTTGTATTCAGCATTAATTTCTTTGACATATCAGGCATGAATCAAAGGATCAAATCTTTTTCAAGTTTTTAATAAATATTGCCAAGTTATGTCCAAAGTGACATCAATTTAAATATCTAAAAAGTGATGTATGGAGTCTGAAGAATATTTTCATACAGAACAAGTTTAGCCAGCTTTCAGGAAACTGGAATTGAGGAACAAACAAATACAATTGGAGCTTTTATCCCAGCACAGTACTTATTTTTGATATGTAAATTGTCATAGGCATGAAGAATGGTCTATACTGTGACTGGAATTTTCATTATGCAGACTATGTCATAAAAGTAATTTTTTGCCTGCATTCCCACAGATAACCATATTTCATTGATTCTAAGTGCAAATTTTCTCCCACATATATACCTCTGCAGCATGATGTCAGTTTAATTGACAGCAATTCTTTTTCCTCCTTCGTAATGCATAAAAGGATCCTATATTTCACAATTAATGGCATATTGATTCAATGAAACACAAGGAGAATGCAAAGGTCATATTCTGTGGCTCACTTTTACAGAGATCCAACACCTACTGCATTTAGCTGAAGCTGTGTACAAATTTGGGAGCCAGAATCAAACTAGTAACCGTGAGAAAGTGAAATGTATTAAACACATACTCAAGTCAAGTTGAACCTTTTATTATTCTAGTGCTCTGAAATGCTGAGGCTATCTTAGTCATTACACACTATCTAAGTTTGATATTCAGGGTATATTCACTGGGACATGAAATTATATTTTTTGTGAAATAAAGTAATGTATAAGGAGTCAGATGACATAGAAAAGCCCTTGTCCTATAGGTTTGAATTTAACATCTATGCTGTCTCTGAATGTGAAAGTATATTTTAGAGTTTCATGAGGATAAAAAAATAGTACATGTGTACATATGAATGGGGAAACAAATACCACTTTAAAAGTGAGACTCACTAGACTATCCACATTTGTAAATTGCTACATGTTCAAAACAGGTAATATGTAATAAAGAATGCTAATTTCACATATTTTAATGCTATGTGCCTCCAAAGGGATGATGGAAGTTGCCAAGTTGATGTATTTAAAACCTTTATCAAAAAGTTGCATTTTAATCACTATACATATATCAAAAAGAACTAAATATGCCCTAAAACATTAGGCTACTTTAAAAAGTTACTTAAACTCTCTCTCTCCCACCCGTGGAGGGGCGATATTTCTTGGTAACTGGTCATAAGAAAAATACCTGAGGAGTTTAGCAGATGAAAGTTGAATATGGATCAAAGATGTCTTCAGGTTACCTAAAATTAGACTATAATGTGAAGTTCTGTTAATGCAAAGACATATTCAGGACATCTGTTTTCATATACTCAAGGTTCTTAGTGTTTTGTTCAATCCTAATTGCTATATTGGAAGAGAGACAGTGAAAATTGAATTAGCCAATCAGATGTCTCTCCCACTAGCTAATTATCTAGCAATCTCAGTGTCTCCTCTCCTGCTGGTTCCTTCCTCTCATGATATACACATGCTGAGGTCACGGTCAGAGTCCAAGGCTGACTTCCAGTCATACACTATAGCTGCTAAGGGTAGATACTGTCTCTTTCCTTCTTGAGACTATCAATTCGTTCCACCCTGGGTCTCAATGATCACACTTTCTGAGCTCTTTGGATGCTTTCCTATGCCTCTTATTTCTTAGCATTTCTTAATCAAATCAATCACTTAATTAAATAAATATTAATGTTCTTAGGAGAGAACCAGTAGCACTGACCTGCTTATTCTGCTTAAAAACACAATTTATCAACATCTATCCTCTCTGAAGTACTGGCATAACCACAGTTTTTTTCTCTAGCTCAGATCTCTTTCCTAAGCCCCGAACTGCCAATGTATCTAATTGAATGTTGGATGTTCCACAGATACCTCATCCTCCACAGAAACCACTCATCATCATTTACCTATCTCTGACACATCGGTTCTCACATTCCTATCTCAGAAAAACACAACTATCTATTATCAACCTAGTTGTCCAATTAAACAGCCTGTAATTAGTCCTGACTCTGTTTCTGTGTCCCTCTCTAATATGCAGCTGACCTCCCGGTCATGCTGACTCTCCTTTCTCGGTATTTTTGAAACCCTCTCCTTCTCCTTCTGCAACCATGGCTTTCTTAGTTCGGGCCTGCCTTATCTTGAATATCTTAAGAATCTGCCCAACTAGTTCATCTTAATTCCGCCCATCCTCCATACTGTAGCAGAGAAATATTCTAACTTACAGAAATATATATTAATATTTGCAATCTGACATTATCGTTAAAATTCTTTAAGGCCTGCCCATCACTATAAGATAAATCTAAACTAGTGCAGTCCTTAGGAGCTGACTCCTACCACTTAACCAGCTTCTCCAAGTTCAGTTTTTCCTTGTTTTCCCTGTTCTCCAGTTTACCTTCCAGCTGTCTAACCACAGTTAGTGATTTCTATACAAGCAGTGTACTGTCAGTAAACAGAAAGCTTCAGCAAAGACTCTGGTGATTTCCAAGAGAGTTGAGCCACAGTAATGAGGCGAAGAAAGAGCCAGCAAGGGTGTGACTGTCCCAACAGAATGTCACAGACAGGTGCAGGAATGTGAATGTTGGCAAAATGCTGAGATAATACAAAACTGTGAACAATGGATTATTTTAGTGAATGAAATATAATTATCTTTATAGTTCAAAATTAGTTTTACATATTTTGAGAATAAACTCAAACTCTTTGGTTAAAAGAAAAAGAGTGAAAAAAAAATAAAACCTCCTGAGCAATGCAACAAAAATCTATTAAGGTTCTAAGTCTGGAAGCAAGTAAATGTGTTGTGATAAGTGAAGGAAATATTTAACCTAAAAGTTGAAAAGTTAATATAATTTTGCTTATTTTACTTTTATTTTGCATATGTTAGCATCAGGTTCTTACTCATGAGCTGCTACTCTCTATTCAGGCCCAATTCAAGGCCCAATTTCTCCAGAAACTTGATCCATGATTCCACTCACAGCTTAGGGACCTCCCCTTCCTCTGCATAGAAAGAGCCCTGGAAACTGCACTGTCCACTTGCAGGGATGAATGGCCCACAGCATGGTCCATTTCATGCTCATCTCACTAATGAGAGGGTGAACTTCCCGGGCGCATGCCAGGGCTACATTATCTAGGTATGCCAGGGCTTGTACTATACCTCGTGCAGGGTGTTTAATTGATGAAATCCAATGAATAAACAAAATTTCTCTTACCATCATTGTTCACCTCACCTGCTCTCCCAAATGTAGATCTCTATTTATCATTCTCTATCTTACCAACAGGCAAAAAGAAGCAAGCAAGCAAGCGAGAAATGTGTTTTCTTATTTTTCCTAAGTACAAGGCCATCATTAAGTACAGTTGAAGGAAACATTGTAATATTTGGGGAGGGGGGAAGCAATGGTGTATTTTGCACATTTACAAGGGAAACTTAATCATGTTTACCTAGCCATTATTTTGATCTTTGATTCATGGCACTTTCAGAGTCATGTTCAGAAGATTGACAGGGACTGAATTTTCAACAGATACATGACAGGAGAAGAGCCCAGAGCAAACCACTCAAGTGTGTGGGTGAACAAAGCCCTCCACAGGCTGGCACAAGTGTGTCTTCAAATGCTCATGCTTCCAAATCCCCTAGTTTGGCGCTGGAACAGCGTATGTTCCTCGACTGACAGTGTTCTGTTATGAATGCAGAAGGGTGGCCAGGCAGTAAACTTAAATTGAGAGTAAGCTGACAGTCCAGGTACATAGAACATGGTGAGACACTTCAAGTCAAATTCTTAGGGTCGGGGGAACGATTCAAGCAGGAGCTGACCCACATGGAAAACCACTTACCCAGGGTTTGTTTGCTCCTTCACTCTGATCCAAGGCACCAGGAAGTGAATAATATTTTACGTAAACACTGAGTTCTCACACAAAATCGCATAACAACATTGAATTCTCAAAGGAATTTTTCAAAGTGCAGTTATAAATTAAGTGAAGAAAATATTTTAAAGGAAGTGCTAGTGTAGAGATGCAAAGCATAGTTTTAAAGACTTTATCAGAAGTTTCAATTTCGATATACATGGGGATTGGTAATAAAAAGATATAATATATTAAGCACTATATAATAAATACTTATTGAATACTATATTATAACACAATGTATATATATAGAGAGTGAAAATATATAAAAGTCTATCTATATACAAAATGACTGTGGTAATGAAAATTAATCAGGGTGAAAGTTTTAGCATTTCATACCAGACACCCCATCAAAGATTTGGAAGCAGCATGTGAAATATCAATGCCTATTCTAAATACAAAGATAGGTAGAGAACCCTAAGAGTGTAAAGCAGAAAAAAAGTAGGTAATAGTAATCAGTAATTTTCAATAAATTAAAATGTATCATAAGTAGGAAAAATAGTGAGCACAGAAAACCTAGCATTTCATTGTATTTAACATTGGTGGAATATATTCTGAAACACATTTTAGATATGTAAGTCATGTATATCATTCTTTTTTTAAATGCAGGTGATACCCTACAAATGACTGGAGTCATTAAAAAGCTTTCTATCAGTCAAAACAACAATTATGTTTGCAAGCAAATTTGATCAACATTCACTTTAACATTTTTTGAAAATGTAAACTTATACTGACACTGCAGTGTCTTGGGAGAGTTTCGGATGAATGTGTCATTGTCACCTTGATGGATGCCCTGCATCCCCAGCTTTTGTTTTACAGGGTTTGGGATGTGTCAGGAGAACAAGGACCAGTCATTACCTGAGACAGCGACTGTCGCAGCCGTGCCATTTGCGTACTGTGGCCTTTACTGTGATCCTGCTCAGAAACCATCTGCTTGAGCTTCTCCTTCTCTATTGCTATGCTGTTAAATGCAGACTTCAAAAGAGAATGCACTGGGAGGAGAGAAGAGTGAGAAACAGAAATCAAATGTATCTACCAAGAATATACAAAATTATCAACTTCTTAGCACTTTAACTCATGCACAGACATTTCTGGACAGACTGCATTACAGTCTAAAAGTCAGCCTTAAAATGGAATCTACCAGAATATTTATATACAAAACAACCATGGTAATGAAAATTAATCAGGGTGAAAGTTTTAACATTTCATACCAGACACCCCATCAAAGATTTGGAAGAAGTATTAATGCCTATTCTAAATACAAAGATTTAGAAATTAGCCCAGAATTCCTAGAAGGAAAACAGAACAAGTTTTACTCCATTATAACATATTATTTGAGAGTTCTGTATACAATAAATCTAATGCAAATCATTTAGAACAATTCAAGAATTAATTTCTAAAAATGTACACTCCAAAAGAGCATTTTATGAATCCTGTTAATGTAATAGAGGTTGCTGATCTAGAAGTTTTGACTAGTTCTCTTTGAAGTAGGAAAATGATTGGCCTTAACAACAAAAAGCACTTGTATTATTTTCTTAGATAAGAACATCTTGATACCACACAACCTTTCAAAGGGCACAAACGTCCACTTGTAGATGTACAGCTTCTGGGAATCTAATTTATAGCATAGTGATTACATAGCATTATATTATATATGCAGGTTTCATTGAGAGTGTATATCTTAAAATGTTCTACACACACACACAGTAATTATGTGACATGATGGAGGTGTTAGCTAACACTATGAAGGTAATCATTTTGTGTGGAATCTCCAGCCTTCCATGTTATCAGAGCTTTGTCTTGGTGCTCAGAGTTCATGCTGTTCAAATTTAAATGAAGAGTCAGGCAGGGGCCTCTCACCAAGGCAAAAGTCCTGGTATGAGGAATATACTGGAAAACCAGTATCTGCTGAAAACAGCAGGCAGACTTTATGGACAAATGAGCAAAATCAGCTAGAATATCTTACTTGTAAAGATTAACAGAAAGTTAAGTAAGAACAGATACTTTGATTTGCAGAAACAATGGCACCCACCCCAAACAGTAGCCCCTAACTTGCACCAGATGATGACACATTCCCAATAACACCCCCCACATACACACACGGACATCCCTCCACATACTTGCTTACCGTCTCTGAACTGCTCCTCAGTCAGTTTGAGACTGCCCGGGATGGGCTTGCACCACTGAGGTGTGAGCCCTCTGGGTCTCTCGTTCTATTGTCTTTCCTTTGTCCTACGGCACTCCCAAAACTGCTGCCCATGAGGTGACCATTTTGTAATAGATAACAGTATCAAAGTGACACTTTGATAAAGTATATCTTGACTTGTATATCTTAAACCTATGCAAATGCTACATGTCAAGTATATCTCCATAAAGTTAGAAATAAAAGCTACAGTCAAAATAACAATTTCCCCCATTTCTGCATATTTAACATATATCATTAAAATCTGAGAAAGTGTTTAGATCCACAAAGAGGATACACAACTCCTCTATGATAATAACTTCTATAATATGCAAAGTCTGCTAAAATAGGTATTTCCTTATTTGAGAATGATTTATGTGCTATATTCCAGTTGTCATCAATTTGAACGTAATGACTTGATAACTGCAACACATGAACGCCACTGGCAGCTCTAAAAACATTTGAAAATCCATAATTCTCTCTAAAGTGTTCACTCAAAAGTTCCATAAAAATCCTTTTTTCTATTATAGAGATTTGGGGTATTCATTGAAAAAAAAATATGTTTTACCAACACAGGCTTTAACATTCTGTTGAAGTTTGGATTTCCTGAAAGCAAATGGGTTACAGCCCAACACACAACGCTTTCCGTGGGCTAATTTCAAATGTATTGGTTTCTCTTTAGAAGATGAGCTATACTTAACTCACAAATTTGTTGTGTCTTTCTACCTGTCCTCCTTGGTTATTAGAAGTAAAAGCCACTGAATTTACTGCAATAAACTTAACATAGTTCCATTTCACAGACAGAAAACTACAAAAGTAGCACTGCTCTTTGTTGGGAGTGACCAAATGCAGAGATTTACTGAGGGACTTGTTAAGGGCAATAATAAATCAGGCCTTGCATCCAAAGGTGATAAGGTGGTAATAAATTGGGCCCTGCATCTAATTAACGGGTCCTTGCATCGGGATGGGTCTAGATGAAGGTGATAACGAACTGGGCCTTACATCAAGGACACAGCGATGAGTCACCCCTTTGAAATCTGAGCTTAGGACCTATATAGGAGACCCTTCCCCCTTATTGAGTTGGCAGTAGCTGCTGACCCCACTCTAGGGCTCCGTCTCAGCTGCTGTCCTGGAACAATAAACTCTGCTTGCTCAGCCTTTCTGCCTCCTGCCTTCCTTTCTTGCAGCCGGTCACAGAACTTGGGACAAAACACTCTTAACCTAACTGACACAATCAGCAACCACTAAGATATGTACTGACATCCTACTAGGAGTAATATAGTAGATGAAACTGTGCTGGCTTTACAGAATCTGGACTGAGAGATTTATATTAAAATGGGAGGGTAAGATGCTTGCTTAATTATTGTAGAAGTATGGAGTTCAAGAAACACCTTCTAACTCAACTTTGCTGATGGTTTAACAGTATAGATTTTGTTGACTTTACCATTCCCAAAGTTTCTTAGTGTGTGCCCCTTCTTTTCCTGAGTCTTGAGCATTAGGAGGCAAATCAGTATGTTCCCTTTAAGATATATTCTCAGTAACTTTTTATAACCTATTATTTCAAGAATATTTTATAATTTATTAATTGCAACCCCAGAGCAAATGTGATTAATTCCCAATAGGGTGTTAGTGACTGAAAACAACACAACATATATCTTTCCCAAAAGACTAGCTGTTAAAAGACAATGCCTAGGATGGTACTATCTTAAGTCAAAAGATTAATCTCCAAGGCTGAAATTTAAATAATCAGAGCAATAAGGTTGGAAAATTAATTTGGGAGCTGAGACTCTTGGTAAATACAGACAGGACTGCTCAAACCACTTACACTGTATGCTGCTTCTTATTATTTCCTAATCACTGTAGCTCATGACCAATTAACTTAGGTGATCAGCCTTAACTGAAAACTTAACCTAAAAAAGAGAGGCCATCAAAGCCGGATTGGCCTGTGAGGTTCTGACCAGAAAAGAGCAAGCACATGACTGGGCCCTGCATTGGACAGAAATGTTGGGCAGCTTCTCTTGGAGTTCTGAGTTGCCTCAGAGAAGAAGAAGGACATAACTGTGGACGGGCTTCCAGCTATCCCTCCAGTGTGCCAGGCACACGGGAGAAGCCATCTTGTACCTTTCAGCCCAGCCAGACTCCAGTTAAATGTCATTAAGTAGCCCCGTCAATTCCAAGTGGTGCAGACCTGTCTAGGCGAGCCCTACCTAAACGCTTAACCCACAATGTCAAAAATGCAATTAGTTTTATTTAAATCAATGAGTGCTAGCTAATAAAAAGAGACACAAACAGAATCTTTCATTTTTCTTACTAAAAAAACTCATAAACATTTATTAAAAGATAATAAAAGATACTGAAAAAAAAAAAAAGATGTCACTAGTAGTATCTGTTGGCCTGCCTAGGATAACCCATTCTCTCTCCCTCCCTTACTACAACTCAATGGCTCTTTCATTCAAAACTATAAGCCTATGATTTACACTCTCCCAAGAGGCAGACATCATACCCCACCCACTATGTTATATATATAGAACTCTAACCAGTATATAATATTATAATCTTCCCATCATGACCACCCTGACAAGGATAAAAGGGTAACAGTAACTTGTCCCCAATGAAGAGCTGCTCTAAAGGGCATGTTGTATTTGTTGTTACCTTTCTGGGCAATTAGACAAAATTCTTCTTGAAGCTTTGTATAATCTGTTGAACTTTCCAGAGGGTCAGTGAGGTGGCTAGGGGGCGTCTGAAATTCAATATCCGCACAAAGGTTGGGGTTGGAGGAATGCAAGCGAACAGGTGACATGGTGGCACTGAAAGGAACCTGAAAGGGGAAGATGGAAATTATTAATGAGCAGCAGAGCACTTATCCACATTTTATCCCATAGAAAAGCTCACTTTCATTCTTCATAATAAGAGATTCCTTTCTGATGACACAATCAGAGATACTCAGTGCTCATTTATTTTTCAGGGAATGGTGGTGGGAAGCAGTATCATTTCCTAGAGTTGATTCAGTCCTGTCACTGACTCACAGGCTTTTCACTGTTTCTGGGAGACATGACTACAGCATGACAGGAAGAAAAGGAGTAGTCCCAGATAAGTTCCAGCTCTGAACCCACAGTTCTATCTAAAAAATTACTGGCAGATAACAAAAGTTGAACCTAACTGATCTTCTACAATCTGAATGCTCATGTCAGAGGACTTTTGTTACCCACTTCTTTTTTGAGTGGGTAAAACATCAAAAGACATATATACAGAAAAGTGAGTTCATTCTATTCCATTGTTATATTTACCATTAAACTTGATGTATGGTAAATTAAATGGCTACCATACATCAAGTTTAATGGTAAATATAATAGTGGCTTAAAGAGCTTCATAACTAAGTTTGAAATTTATTTATTAAAACATGTTTTAAACACAATATACACTATATGAATAACAGTTGTTTACATTTGTATGTCTTATACACTTTCTTACCTATATGAATAGGCTAATACTGAAAAGCATTAAGTAAAAAAACAGTCAATTGCTAAAGACTTTCCCAAATGGGTAGAGGTTATTCTCCCCACTTAGATTGTATGTGGATTAATTAGGCTTGTGATGAGTGGAAGAAAAGCAACTTTTTCTCTCCTTCCAGAAAATTCTATCTGAATATTACAAATGCTGTCAAAGAAATATTCTTGGAAAATGAATATGTCAACTCCTCTTGTAAATCAGGTTATCAGTAAACTCCTTAATTCTTATGGCACAGATTTTCATTCAGTTATCTTCAAGAATCAGACTCAAGATTCCTTTGTAAGCTGAATTTTGTATAAATTAAAGGATAATTCACACCCTCTATCTAAGGAGGAAATATGCTGTAGGAGGAAGGAAGAAATATCTTGCCTGATGTATATGCATATCAGAACCACTTTATTTTTTTCATATCTTGATTGTGCTTTAAACTTCCAGACAGGAAAAAAAAAGAGAGAGAGAGAGAGAGAGAGAGAGATCAAGAGGAAGAGGGAGACAAAATTAGTGTTCACTGAGGATAAATGAAAGAGAGGGATAGAACCACAAACATGTGACCTGAGCTAGTTTGTGGATCTTCATGAAGGCAACTGAGACTGCACAGGAGATCCTTCAGATGAAGCTTTGCCCGAGCAGGGAGTTATTTATCTCAAAACCTAGCTACAGCTTACTGGGGAAGGAAATGAGTGTGAAGCTTATTCCCTAAAATCAGCTAAGCACATGAATGAATAGATGATACCCACAGTATATGGCATCTGGGGTTATCAAAGTAACTTTCTCTCATCCTCCCTGGGGACTTTGGCTACAGTAGCCTTGGGAATGTCAATAGGTTGTTTTGTTTTATCTGACTCAGAAATTTTGGCTATTTCAGAGGATGAACAGACAAGCCATTTGAAAAATGGAGTCCTTGGGGTTCAACAATTTTCTAGAATCCTGTCCAGGTAACTCTGTGATGATAAGAATTGAGGTTGTTTGGGAATATCTATAAAGGAATGACATTTACATGGAAGAATAAAGATCGATAAAGGAAATTTACCCTTCACTGTGGTGATGCTAAATCTACAAAGAACAGTCCCCTAGGAGGGACACAGAGAATCCATGGAAAGGCTGATGGACACAAGGAGGCTCTGCACAAGATCATGACTTACAGAAAAGGATAGACAATGCGATTTTCAGATCTAAGGATACAGTTTCTCCACAATAGCAACTAGAAGAACATTATGAAAAAATACATGTGGGTGTTTGGAGATGGAGAATGTAGTATGTTTTGGATTGTGTAAAAGGGTTTTATTTGCCCTCCATATGGACCTCAAGGACAGGCATTATGGCAGAGAAGAGGGGTGTCCTTCCTCGAGTGGAGAGAGTAAAGGCTGTGAGAGATGGGGGGGAAAGGTCATGATGGAGACCATGGTGCGAAGGAGGCTTGCGGAGTCCAGTAAGGACCCACATTTTGTTCCTGTGATAATGATGTCTCCATTAAAAGCTGGAATTAGATTCTGAGAAGAAAAACATGTTACAAATTTGTATTTCCAACACAGTGGAAATTTCAATTGGCAATTAAAATAGTAAAAGTGATTGTGTACAGAGCCCACAGGGAGAGGGACTTGGGAATGCTCCATTCAAATTGTAATCAGACAGATCCCTAGGAAATTGAAAAGTAATTTTTATATACTTAAGACTGCAAATGTTTGTATTGATATCTCCTTTTTTTTTTGCTGAAAAAAGTACATAGAATAGATTGTTTAAATTGAAGAATTGATGAAATGAAATTGCAAAAACAATTGCGAAATAGTAATCTAATTTTAATTGAGTATGTCTTTAGCCTGGGGATCTTTTACTCAGTTTTGCAT